AATACTCCTCCTCTTCATCATCATCCAAAAAAACTCTTAAAGTGTGGATCTATAAATGGAACTGTATTTGGCACTCTATAGCCCTTTAAAAATTTAATACAAGAATGAGGCAGAGACAAACCACACATAAACAAATCCAAAGTACTGTGTGCACATACAGCTTAAAAATAATGGGTAAAGATATGACACACACATACACACACACGAATATTATTCAGCCATGAGAAAGAATAAAATCCTGCCATCTGCAACAACATAAATTGACCTGAGGGAATTATTATTATTATTATTATTATTATTTTCTTGAGGGCATTGTTAAAGTGAAATAAGTCAGACAGAGAAAGACAAATATTGTATGTCACTTAAATGTGAAATCTAAAAAAGCCAAACTCACAGAAACAGAGATGAGAGGTGCACCTGGGTGGCTCAGTCGGTTAAGTGTCCTACACTTGGTTTTGGCTCAGATCATGATCTCACGGTTTGTGAGCTCAAGTCCCACATCAGGCTCTGTGCTGACAGTGCAGAGCCTGCTTGGGATTCTCATTCTCTCTCTCTCTCTCTCTCTCTCTCTCTCTCTCTCTCTCTCTCTCTCTCCCTTCTCTCTGCCCCTTCCCTGCTTGCTCTCTTTTTCAAAATAAATAAATAAACTTAAAAAGAAAAAAAAAGAAATAGTCTAGAATGGTGGTTAGCAGGGGCAGGGGTGGGGAAAATGGGGAGATGTTTGACCAAAGGTACATATCTAGTTTGGGGATAAGCTCTGGGGATCTAATACATAGCATGGTGATTATACCTAATACTACTGTTCTATATACTTCAAAGTTGCTGAAAGAGTAGATCTTAAATGTTCTCAACACAAAAAAGAAATGGTTATCGTGTGACTTGATGGAAGTGTTAACTAAATCTATGTTGGTAATCATTCTGCAATATACGTGTCTCAAATCAACACCTTGTACAACTTAAAGTATGTTGTATGTCAATTACATCTCAATAAAGCTGGGGGAAAAAAGGAAAAAAATGCTACATATAAAATGACATTTTTTTTCTTCCACTTTATCTACATAAACATTTTCCGCCCAGGTAGATAAAACCAATAGAGATAAACATAACTATAAAAGCATATACATGTACACAAGTGGTAAAAGAAAAATTGGGGGAAACGTGACAGCTCTCAAATATTTGAAGGGCGGTTATGTAGAAGAAGAAAGATTTATTCTGTTCAGCTACTGTGTAGAATTAGGACCGGGGTGAAACAGGTAGAAGTTCAAGGAGGCATGTGTCAGTTTAACTTTCGGATGAACTTTGCAACAACTAGAACTCCTCAAAATCAATGAGTTCCCTCACTGGAGTTATTGTAGAGGGAATTCCAGATTAGCCCAGGTGACTTCTAAGGTTCTTTCCCAAACCCTGTGATGCTGAGCCACATGTCAAAATTAAACACATTTATCAGCCTGGAAATGCACACTGGTAAACACAGGGATCAGCGGAGCATTGCAACACCCGCCCCCACCCCCCCACCCCCACCCCCTTCTGATTACCTTAGAGGAAGGCAATTGAATGTTATAGGCAAAGAATTGTTACCAGCTGTGGTTGTTTTAGGTAGGGACTGCGAAGGGTCCAGGGAAACTGCTAAGTCTCTGTGGATGAGTGTGAGATTCTCTTATGAAGGAGGCAGGATCTGAGTAGTCCTGAGTACTGTAAGAGGTGACACTTGGGAGCCATATTGGGGAGAATATGATTATTGCAAAAGTCATAGCTAAGAAAGAATACACCGCGAGTTAGGCTAATTGGATAAAACATACATGCCTACGATAGGAGTGGTGGGGGTTTGAGGAACAAGAGATGATGCCCATTAAGCAATTATAATCCAGGGTGTCCTGGAAAAATAATTTTGAAACATTAGGTGAAAAACGTTAACATTGTACACAATGAAGGGGAGCGGGAAGCACAGTCGGCAAAGTGATGAGAGGAAGAAACGTTTTTGTTTTAGTGAGTTGCTTGGTGCTGAAGGTGAGGAAGCCAGGCAAGAAAGGCTAACAGCAGGAGAATCCAGCAGACATGACCGGAGTCGAAAGGAACACCGCGTTCATACAGATGTAGAGAAAGAAGTAGATATGAAAGACAATGTGAGAATGTGGCAATGGCCTGGAAATGCAGACTGGTAAAGACCGGGATCAGTGAAGCGTTGCTCCCGAGTCCCTTGCTTCTGGAAATAGTGGTATTGCTCCTATTACAGGGAAGGTAAAGATGATAAGCATCTGTCTTCGGTGTGCCTTGGTGATATGTCTGTCTGATCTTTCGTGCCAGCCCCTGGCTATTGGCTGGTTGAGGCTGGCCCTGTGCTACTATGTACCAGCCCTGCTGCTTTTTTTCACCTGGTTATTGCCCCCACCTGGAGCTCCCAGCTGCCCTCAGTTGGGTTTGAGACGGTACTACAGTACTACTTGGGATTGTTTTTAATGTTTAAAAAAATGTTTTTTAGTGTTTATTTATTTTTGAGAGAGACAGAGAGTGAGCGGGAGAGGCGTAGAGACAGAGGGAGAGCCAGACTCCAAAGCAGGCTCCAGGCTCTGAGCGGTCAGCACAGAGCCCGATGCAGGGCTCAAACCCACAAACAGTGAGATCATGACCCGAGCGGAAGTCATGGCTCAACCGACTGAGCTACCCAGGCAGTCCACAAATGTTTTAAATGTTTAAATGTAATTGTCAGTCAAGTCACTTGGCTTTTGTTATATTGAGATGAAAAAATTTCCCACACCTGATGAACTAGGTTTCTCCCTCGTCTTATCACCATCCCGCATTCTTAAAATTCCCATTTCGCTTTGAAAATTAAAGAAAGGCAACTATCCACAAAATAAATGCACATATCCTAAGTCTCCACTTACAGGATACTTTAGGTAGGATCTTAAGAATCAATGGTAGAGGAATCTTCATATGCAAAACAAAGGTATTACATAACAGTGCACATGTGCAAAACCACGTAGGAATGACTAATACAGTGATATATGATTCTACATGCTTTTTGGGGAGGGGTTTGTGTGTGTTTTTGTGGCTGGTGGCAAGTGGGGGTGTGGGGGGGCTCATCTGAACAAACACTGTAGAATTTGTTTCATAGCCTAAGTTATACAACTTGAAAAAATTAGGTTTGGGAAAATCTTATGGACTTCTGAAAACATTCATTTTTTTTTTGTACAAATAGTAAACGCTTATATGACAATAAATGTCAAATACTGTTTTAAGTGTTTTAGGTCAACCAATTTAATTCTAACCACATCCCTGTAAGATAGGTATTATTGTTATCATCACTTCACCGATGAGGAACTGGTGCACAAAAGGTGAAGTATTTGCCCAAGATTAAATAATTAATAAGTATCAGAGTCCAGTTTTGAACTCAGTCTGGCTTCAGAGTCCCTGCCCTTAACCACTGTACTATACTGTACTCATCTATTATGGAACATGCATGAATTAGCAGAGAGGCCATGCCATTATCCTCAAATTAAAATTCTCTCAGAAAGCAAAATCCAAACAAACCAAACTCTACTCTATGATAACCTTTATCCTGTGTCAATGATTTTTTCCCCCTGTAGTTGCAAACACTTTGGGAATTAAAAGAAAAAAAAAGTATTTTCAACACAGGAAAACTTTGATACAAATGGAAAATTCACATTCTATCCAGTGCCAAAGCATAGTGCTTCTGTTCCCATTTAGGGGAGCAATTTCAGTTATTTCTGGTTACACCCTGGATGGCAATGGGATAATTCCATACTGCTTTCCTAGTGGTATCAGTGTCAGGGGATGGTTCATCTAAGGTCATCCTGGTTCTCCGAAAGATGCACTAAGGAAAGCTGCATCCACCTTTCCCTCCAAACCTATCTTCCCAGTGGTTGTTCTGTTGCTTCTTTGCAATGCCTCCCATCCTGTTTTCATTTTAAGAAAAATTTCAGGGTGGTACCTGCAGTAACTGATACTTTTTATCAAGGAAATAAGGAAGTGAAGGGAATGGTAAGAGGATAGTTATCAACTTCTTTGAGAATTTAAAACACTGGATCAATATTAAGATGTAAGAATGTGCAGGGGCAGAATGATTAGTGGATATTTATACATATGTATGTGTGTGCATGGATAAAAAACACTGCTGCCTTGCGTCACCCTCTTTAGACAATATAAGCTAATGATGAGTAAGTTCTGACTCAGAAACAGGGTCAAAGAGAAACATTTTTCCCCCCTTTGTCATCAAAAGGAGACCTGACCACGTGCACGGTATATAAAGCATACCGGTGGGAAGATTAGCTTTACTGTCAAGCATTGTAAGGGTAACAGGAACACACATGTGGTTAGACGGTAAAGGAGCTCAAGAGGAATTCATGGTAATATGAGGAGTGGGGCCACAACTGCTTCTCCAGTGAGACTTCAAAGTGCAGACAACCGAGGCGAGTGCAACTTAACATCATGAAATAATTTCAAAAGACTACAATAAAATAATAATGTACCTTTTTTAGTATCTTCACGTAAATTTTGTATAATCTTAGACTCTAGGCCTGCTGCTGACAATGGTGTTGAAAGGGAATCTCCTGGGCGTTTTAGGGAGCCTCACCTGGATGGCAAGCAGCAAAAGCCTCGTGCGTTTCTGTCCCGACTGTGCCTGCTAAAGAGCCATGCACCTGGGGCGCTCACCGCAACTGATATGACAGGTGGAGGTGGGACAGGGATGGCTTTACGTCCATCCCCCAAAGGAGGTAGCATGTAGAGCCGAACGTGGGAGGGATCGCTAAGGCGGATTCAGACCTGGGAGGCCCAGGTGGCGCGGAGGCCGACCAAAAGACCCGAAGGGGCTGTGGACGTGCCAACGAGGTGGGCGCTGGGGGGACCCACCCCGTGAGGAGGGGGGGGGGGGGGGGGCGGGGGGGGGCCGCCGGGAAGCCCTCCCTCCGAGTAGCGGAGGTGACTGGTCGGGCTGGGGGCGGGAGACGCTCTGTCCCACGCTCTCCCAGTGCTCGGTGGTTTAAAGATGGCGGCGGCGGCGGCGGCGTTGGGGGCGCGGAGCCGCGGGAGGAGGAGGGAGGAGAATCTGTGAGTCGCCCAGAGGCAGCGCAGCGGCTGCTGTGAGGAGTCCGCGTGCGGAGCCGCCGGCGGCCCGACCGCTCGGGGCCGGGGCCTGGTCTGGGAAGGAGAGGCCGGAGCAGCGCCGGGAGCCTGAGGCCGGAGCCGAGGAGGAATGTGACCTGGGGTCGGCGGGGGCGCGGGAGTACGCGAGCGCAGGGATGGGGCAGCAGGTGGGCCGCGTCGGGGAGGCTCCGGGGCTTCAGCAGCCGCAGCCTCGCGGGATCCGGGGCAGCAGTGCAGCCAGGCCCTCCGGCCGCAGGCGGGACCTGGCGGGGCGCACCACAGAGGCCGGCTTCAATATCTTCACCCAGCATGGTGAGTGTCCGGGAGCCGGCGTGAGGGCGTGGGGGAGGCTGGGGGTGGGGTTGGGGCGGGGTGGGAGGCAGACAGGCAGCTCTAGGGGGTCGAGGGGTGGCGGGGTGCCTGAGACTGGGGGCGGAATCCGCTGCCATCTGGGCCAGTCACGGGAGGCGAGTCACACCCCTCCCCCCCTCCCGTCTCCAGCCTGGCTGGCAGCTCCTGGGGGCGGAGAAGGAAAGAGAAGTGGTCTTAGGGACCGTGGATGGATTGTGCTGTATCTTGGGACACTGTGTGGCTCGGTGAAGACGGTGGATAGTATCCCCAGGGGAGGGAAGGATGCTGGGAGGTGTGGGCTCGATCCAGTAGGTGTTAGTGTAACTCGGTCGTTAGCGAAGGGAACGGGTTGTGCCTCAAGGGATTTGGAAATAGGAACTGAATCTCCGGAGATAGTGGCGTATAAAGTGTGTATGTACGTATAAGTCAGACTAAGAGCAGTGTCAGAATAGTGAGCTGTGACCTAAAATACTATTCCGTGGCAAAGATAAGGGTAGTGTCTCAGTACTTTTGACGTTCCCACCCTCCCCACCCCCGCCCCAAACTGCACAGGAAGGGCTTTGCTAGACCGTCCTATGTTCTGCTTTTTTTTTTTTTAGTAGGATACACTTCTGAGAAGCTGGTAGGGGTTAGAGGTTGGTGGTCATGGTTAGGACTTTGGATGTGAACAAGAGTTTTCTTCCTTGTTCATATGCACATGTGTAACATGTATCCTGCGCTATTCTGGAACCTATTGCTTTGGCCTCATTATCCAGGTATTTTTAGAATGGTTGTCTCCCAACTCTTTTGATCATACCCTCTTATCAGTAAAAGAGCATATACTCCAGGAACTTATGTATCTGTTAATTATATATGTACTTGTTCTGCTGTGCCGATATGTTATGTAACTTGTAAATGCCCACAGAAATAGAATTTAAGAAAGGATGAGATGAAAAAACAAGTATAATGAGAATTCTGATATTTTTCTACCCTGCAGCCCACTGGATCCATTTGCACTTCCTCTGAGCTACACCCACACCACTTTTGAGACCACTTTTCTAGAGGAAGGAAGAGTGGCGAAGGGGGAAAAACAATTGAGCTTCATGGGTTATCATGAGATATCACAAGACCTTAGGCTGAAGAGATAGATGTCACATGGATAGATGTGACAAGGACTGCATAGTTGAGGTTGGATGAGAGGTTGGAATTTCACTAAGGAGGCATATAGAAAATAATAAAGGATAAAAGATACAGGGTGTCTAAATTGAACAATATAGGGAGGAGAAGGAAGGAAAGGAAGTATGACTGTTAGAAATGGAGTTTTGGAGGAAATAATGATTGTATGCATAGCATTATGCAAAGAAAAGAGATGAACCTGGGGAGCTGTGGCTGCTAGCTGAGTTGTATCACAGAGCTCTGGGTTTGGACTTTGTGAGCATGCTGAGTTGTTTCTCAGTGGAGGAGATATAAATTATTTTGGGCCATTCAAGTGTTACATGTCTACTATGAAAGATGTGAGTCATCTTCTCTCCAGGTATATGAACATTTTTATGAAAGTGCTATATATGAGTTAGTTTTTATTGAAATCACTTTCTAAAACACAGGAGGAAAGAATGGATGAATAGTTTTCAAGGAAGATCATTCAAGTAGCCTCACTTTGTGGGAAGTGTTAGTAGGCGTTAAACTTGGCCCAGTAGGGCAGCAGTGATTCTCTTCCTCTAGCATCTTACTGAGGACAGAAACTTTTCAGAGACGGAGGAATGTCATGAAGAATGGAATGGGAAGAGATTTTGAAGGATGGGTAGGACTTGGATCTATGGATCAAGAAAAAAAGGACAGGCTGGGCAGGAGAAAAGACTTGAGCATGAACAATGGGAATTAACATAATTTGCTGATGGGATAGTGAGGAGACACCTGTTTGGAGTGAAGCAAGTCCTCCAGGAGTAAATCTTAGAGCAAAAATGGCAAGAATCAAATTCTGGCCCTGGCTCCACCTGGCTGTGTGATTTAGTCACTTATCATCTTTGGGGTTCTCTATCTGCAAGATGTTGGATTGGATGATTGCTAAGGTACCTTCTGACTCTAAGATTTTATGATTCTAATTGAAGCAGTGGGAAGAAAGCTTTGAATATATTTGATTGGGCCTGGGTAATGGAAAATGTGGCAGAGGAGTTAATATCAGTTTACCTGATTGGCTAATTCATAGAATATATCATCAAGCCCAAGTGTGAAATGCTGAACAGTTGGCCTTAAGTGGAGGCAATGGAAATGGGGGGGGGGGGGGGGGGGGAAGTCTGAGGGATATTTCATTCATTGAATAAACAAAAATTTTTTTGAGTACCTATTATGTAACTGGGCTCTGGGGATCTTGCTGTGAGCATAACAAGAGTCCCTGCCCTTGTAAAACTTAGAGGACTTCATGATTCAATATGGAGGATGAACAAGAGATCACTTTGGAATATTTATAGAGGGCATTAACTCTGGGGCCATTCTGCCTGGATTTGAAACCTGGCTCAGATGCTTATTATATGTGTGACCCCTGGGCAAGTTATTTAACGTTTTTGTGCCTTGGATTCTCCTTTTGTAAAATGAGGATAAGAGCACCTAATAATAATAGTATGTAGATTAAATTAGTTAATATATGTAGTGCAGGATAAGAGCTAAATTTGTGTCAGCTGCTGCCATTACTATTATAAAAATAGGGGTGAGTCGAAGACTGTAAGGTTTTGAAATTGGCTGAGATGATGATTATTGACAAGTTTGGAAGTGAGAAGCTAAGTGAAAGGATGGGAATAGGGTAAGTTGTTGCCAAAGTCTAGTATGAAAAGAATGTCATTAGCAAATAATACAGGAAACAAAGGTGAAGTGAGTACTGTTTCTAGACAGATCAGTGTTTATAAACTTTTCTGTAGATCAGAGTTTCTCAGCCTTGGCAGTGTCGACATTTTGGGGTGGATGGTTCTTTGTTGTAGGGGGCTGTCATGTGCTTTGTAAGACATTTGGCAGCACACTGGCCTCTACTCACTAGATGCCAGTAGCAACCCTGGCCTCCAGTTGGGACAACCAGAAAGGTTTACAGACATTACTAAATGGCCCCTGGGGCAGGGGGTAAAATTGCTCCTAGTTAAGAACTGCTTAGAAATACATGACACATTCTGAATTGAATGAATGAATGAATCTGATTCAAAAGCTCCTCAATCTATCATTTGACATTTACACAAAAAATTTGGATCCTGGAACGAGTATACAAATAGTTTCACGAGATATTAGCACATCATTTCATATATGGAGTTGAAGTCTGGCAGGCTATTGAGTTTACATGTAGGTTTAAAGGTAGATCAAATGTTGTTTTGTAGTTAATCAGTAAAAATGTACAGACGTTATAGAAATGGCTTAATCGGAGTCCATGATTTTTCTTCTGTAGGAAGAAATATTTTCTTGTTTAAAATGAGAATGGTATTTTTATTGTTTTTTCTTTTTTTATTGTTAATGTATGGGTAAGTTGTTATAACTGGTCAAAAGTGATTTTTATGAAAATAATTTAGAAGGAATAAAAATAATAGGGCTGTTTTTGGTGTGAAAGGGGTGAGTGATCTATAACTTTCCTGAACTCTGCTATTGGACCTTTTTGGTGAGCTGATGTTTTGTGACTAGCGATATGGGGTTGGATGCTTGTATTTTTTTTTTTTTTTGGTATATTCTCCATTTATTTTTTAAATTTACATCCAAGTTAGCATATAGTGCAACGATGATTTCAGGAGTAGATTCCTTAATGCCCCTTACCCATTTAGCCCACAACCCCTCCAGTAATCCTCTGTTTGTTCTCCATATTTAAGAGTCTCTTATGTTTTGTCCCCCTCCCTGTTTTTATATTATTTTTGTTTCCCTTCCCTTATGTTCATCTGTTTTGTCTCCTAAAGTCCTCATATGAGTGAAGTCATATTTGTCTTTCTCTGACTAATTTCGCTTAGCATAATTCCACCCATGTAGTTGAAAATGGCAAGATCTCATTGTTTTTGATTGCCGAGTAATACTCCATTGTATATATATACCACATTTTCTTTATCCATTCATCCATCGATGGACATTTGGGCTCTTTCCATACTTTGGCTATTGTTGATAGTGCTGCTATAAACATTGGGTGCATGTGTCCCTTCGAAACAGCATCCCTGTACCCTTGGATAAATACCTAGTAGTGCAATTGCTGGGTCGTAGGGTAGTTCTGTTTTTAATTTTTTGAGGAACCTCCATACTGTTTTCCAGACTGGCTGCACTAGCTTGCATTCCCACCAACAATGCAAAAGAGATCCTCTTTCTCTGCATCCTCACCAACATCTGTTGTTGCCTGAGTTGTTAGTGTTAGCCATTCTGACAGGGGTGAGGTGGTAGCTCACTGTGGTTTTGGATTTGTATTTCCCTGATGGTGAGTGATGTGGAGCATTTTTTCATATGTCGGTTGGCCATCTGGATGTCTTCTTTGAAGAAGTGTCTATTCATGTCTTTTGCCCATTTCTTTGCTGGATTATTTGTTTTTTGGATGTTGAGTTTGAAAAGTTCTTTATAGATTTTGGATACTAACCCTTTATCTGATAGGTCGTTTGCAAATATCTTCTCCCATTCTGTCGGTTGCCTTGTAGTGTTGCTGATTGTTTCCTTTGCTGTGCGGAAGCTTTTTATTTTGATGAGGTCCCAATAGTTCATTTTTGCTTTGGTTTCCCTTGCCTCCGGAGACATGTTGAGTAAGAAGTTGCCGCGGCCAAGGTCAAAGGTTTTTGCCTGCTTTTCTCCTTGAGGATTTTGATGGCTTCCTATCTTATTACGTTTAGGTCTTTCATCCATTTTGAGTTTATTTTTGTGTATGGTGTAAGAAAGTGGTCCAGGTTCATTTTTCTGCATGTCGCTGTCCAGTTTTCCCAGCACCACTTGCTGAAGAGACTGTCTTTTCTCCACTGGATATTCTTTCTTTCCTGCTTTGTCAAAGA